TGATGCTTTCTACGAGGAGGGGGCTGAAGGCTGATCTTGGGCCCTCTCTGTCACGATGTCCTACCTAGAAATCTACCAGGAAAAGGTCTTAGACCTCCTGGAGCCTGCATCGGGAGACCTGGTGATCCGAGAAGACTGCCGGGGAAACATCCTGATCCCGGGCCTCACCCAGAAGCCCATAACCAGCTTTGCAGACTTTTGAGCAGCACTTTCTGCCAGTCAGTCGAAATCGGACGGTCGGAGCCACCAGGCTTAACCAGCATTCATCCAGCAGTCACGCTGTGCTTCTGGTTAAGGTAGAGCAGGGGGAGCGGCTGGCCCCATTTTGCCAGCGAGAGGGCAAGCTCTACCTGATCGACTTGTCTGGCTCAGAGGACAACTGGTGCACGGGGGACGAGGGGCTGCAGTTGAAGGAGAGAGGCGCCATCAACACCTCCCTCTTCATGCTGGGCAAGGTGGTGGATGCGCTGAACCTGGGCCTCCCTCGCGTCCCCTAATGGGACAGCAAGCTCACTCGCCTGCTGCAGGATTCCCTGGGTGGCTCCGCCCACAGCATCCTCATTGCCCCCAGAGGCACTTCTACCTGGACAGTCACTGCACTCAACTTTGCTACCAGGTCCAAGGAAGTGATCAACCGGCCTTTTACCAACAAGAGCCTGCAGCCTCACGTCTTGGCGCCTGTTCAACTGTCTCAGAAAGAACTGCTGGGCTCCGAGGCTAAAAAAGCCCGAGGGCCTGAGGAGGAGGCGGGGAGCCCTGAGCCCCCAGCAGCTCCAGCCTCTGCCTCCCAGAAACTCGGCCCCCTGCAGAAGCTAAGCAGCATGGACCCGGAGATGCTGGAGCGCCTGCTAAGCTTGGACCATCTTCTGGGCTCCCAGGGGAGCCAAGGAACCCCTCTGCTGAACACTCCAAGGCGACAAAAATGGTGCTCATGAAAACAGTGGAGGAGAAAGACATGGAGATTAAGATTGTTAGGGTGAAACAAAAAGAACTAGAGGCCAAGATGTTCACCCAGGAGGCTATGGACCCAAAGGAGAAGGAAAATTGCCCTCCCTCAAGGCTCCAACCCCTTTCCCGACACACAGTCACAGTAGCTAAGCCCCTGAAAAGGGCTGTGGTGATGCCCCTACAATTGTTGCAAGAGCTGGCACCATCTCCAAGTGCCGAGATCCACATCCTGAAGAAGGAAGGCCGGAAGAGGAAGTTTGAGTCCCTGTGCGCCTCCTAGCCAGAGGAGAAAGCGGAGGAGGGCTGGGAGCCGCAGGTTAGCCCAGAGCTTCTGGCACACGGGCGCCACAAAATCTTGGACCTGCTCAACAGAGGCTCAGGCTGGGACCTGCGCAACCTGCAGCGCATCGGCCAGAAGAAAGCCCAGCTCATCGTGGGCTGGAGGGAGCTCCACGGCCCCTTCACCCAGGTGGAGGACCTAGAATGCGTGGAGGGCATATCCGGAAAACATGGAATCATTCCTCAAGGCAAACATCCTGTGCTTTGCCGCAGGCCATCCCTGCAGCTCCTCCTGACTGCCTTCGGCTCTGTCTGTTTGATCCGTGTGTAACTGTGTGTTATGTAAATACAGTTTTTATGCCGGTAAAAAAAAATACAGAACCATAATTTCTAAGAACAAAATGAATGGGCCAACAGTAAGATGCACAATGAACCACAATTGCACAGACATTAAAAAAAAAATAAAGGTCAATGGTGGGTCATAAAGAAGTGATCAACTTTAAAAAATACATGTCTTTACTGCTACGCATAACATACTCCGACCTAAAAGAGGCAGATACCAATTTTTTAACCAGTGACAAAAAAATTGCAGAACCCCCTGCTCCTGATATGAAATTGGACAGTAACTGAAACAGTAATACAGATCCTGAGCCCCTCAGCCACTAATATTGCTGAAAAAGTGCTCCCAAAGAAGAAAAAGTGATGCTTCTGTTCCTTAGTCATGCAAACTTCACGGCTTTCCTAGGGCCAGGTCTCTGAAAGGCACGGTTTACAGTTTCTGCACAAGTTGTGGACTTTGCATACTGAGCTTAGGTACAGATCATGATTTGTCAATCACATACTTAGGTAAGGGCTCCCACTGGCCTCGCTCGTAGCTGTTCAGTGGTACGAAGGCCATCCGATTATCACTGTGGTTCCCCACAACAGTTTTCATTCTCTTGTTGAGCATCCTGTCTCTGTTACAGTTTATCTGGATAACTGGCTACCACGTAGTTCGGAAGACTGGATGCTTTAGCAGTTCTCTCGATGGAGGTCTGTCCTGAGGTTGAAGTTCTAAACAACGGAGAGCCACATCTCGCAAGCCAGGGGACAGATGTGAAGGGATCGATGGGGCAGTAGTTGCACTGGCAATCTGTAAGAGACAGAAGAGAAGGCTTTCAGTTTTCCACAGTTGGGACTCTTGGCATTTTAAAGTACACGTGCATATATTTCATAGCATTTACCTCTATCAAAGGGCTTTAAAAAGTTGATGGAAAAATTTCATTATCTTTTCATTTCTTTCCCCCATTTCCCTTTTTTGGAATTAAAGCAGAAGCAGGAGAATATTCAGTAACCAGAGTGTCTATGGGAAAACTCTTTGTATGAGAGATTCCTTTAGGAATTCTTCAAATTTTAGAATTTTATCAAATACTCCCATAGCTGGATCTATAATTTTCTTTATTGTCTCAAATAAAGACAGCTAAGTACATCACAATGATCAGTCAGGGAAGTATTTTACTCAAATAAATTCTGCTTTTTGGGCTCTGGGCTAGTCCTCTTAGCTTCACAGCATGCTTTCTATCTTCCCAGCTTACAATGCTACTCAGTAAAGCAAGACGAACCAGCCAATTTAACACACCAGAAAAACAGCTGCACTGGGGATTTTTCTTCCTTGTTGGATAAGTACTTATTCTTAGTATCAAACACTGTCGGAAAACTGATCTTGTAAATAAGTGAAGAATAAATCTAAATTTCCACCTTCCTGTAAATTTTCCTAATCTCAAGAAAGCTCTCTATTCCCTTTACTCTAGTAATTTTCCAAAAGTTTTGGGTTAAAATAATGAAAATAGGAATATAGAGAAAAAAAATTAAAAGGCCATGATCCTATACCAAGATACACTCAGCTGATTCCTACACATCTACACAAAAAGAAAAACTACAAAACAAAAAACGACCCCCCCCCCAGGTGTGTGCATGTGTGGAGACGCCCCACACAGCTGTGATTGAGGTGCCATTCCCATGGCTCTTGGTTCTAAGTCAAGTCTGATATAAGCTGCTTACATCTTTTCTTTGGTTGGACACATTACATCTGAGAATAGTGTCAGTCAACGATGTACCACCGTGCTGTGTGCACTATAGGTCACGAACAAGATGTGCCCCCCAAGAAGGAAGGGAAAACAAGAGGGTTGTAGTGTGCAGTCCAATATAAACTGAGTATGTTGTAAATAGGAAACAACGTGCAGTCTATATTAGATTTTCTTCATAAAATGTTACAAAATTCATGTGCTTTCGAAACGAGTACTAATGCCTTTACACTACTCTTTAATTTCTGTATAGCTTCCATTGGGGGGCTCTGTTAACCACTAGCCTATCAGTGGACACCAGGTAGTTCAGGTCTTTGGCTAACCTTGAACTTGGCAACATCATATAGATAAGTCTAGAAATTCCTAAAAATGGGCA